ATATATATATATATCATATCATATACCGGAGGCGCCTCCTCCAGGTCCTCGCACCTGGAGGTTGGACTCAAACCCTGAACCCGCTACATATGCCCTGTTGGAGTTTCGAGGCTTTTGCATGGCGTACGACGATTTTGGGGGTTTGGGGCAGCCAAGGGAGGCTTTGAGGTTTCGGATGTAGGAGTTGCCGCCCAAACTGAAACTAGCAAGAAACGCATCCCATGAATTCGACCTACCTGGCGTCAGATCGCACAAGGCCGTAGTGCAAACCCATGTGAAACCCTGAACCCTGAGACCATGTCCGGGGCTTGCACCGTTGGCGGAGCCTTTCCATTTCGGCATCCCGTTCGCCCTTGCGATCTTCGGCGAAGCCTTGCACCGGGATTGCACACATATATCGTATATTATAGTTGGTTATAGTATAGTATAGTATAGTATACCCAGGCTCCTAGCCTCTAGGCAGCTGGTCAGCCTGCAATCGAACCGTGCACTGCTGTAGGTAGTACGAGTATAGTACAAGGTTGGCAGGAGGGGTCGGAACAACTGATGACAGTGTGCCGAAAGAGCCCGTGATAAACTTTCAGGAATGTGTCGCCGAAAGCCTTGATTATTCTGATTCCCAAGGCCCCTACACAAATGCACTGCATTGGCCCGGCATTGTGCTTGTGCACCTGTCAAGCCCGACTTCCTGAGGAGCCCGCTTAAGCGAGGGATCGGCTCGCGAGACAGCTGCCGCTCTTTGATGGAGGCGATGGGGTCTGAAGCCAAGCTTCCAGTCCGAGCTTTAGTGATTTTTTGCAGGGCTTTGCGAGAAGAACATAGGGCTCAGCGCTCTTAGGTTTTAGGCTTATAGGAAGCAATGCCCGCTTGGAGAGTGAAAAAAGGAGCCCTGAGTGCGAGACCAGTTCGAGCATTTTTGGAGCTTCCTCACCGATGTGGTTCTAAACTGTCCTTTTGCCTGAACAGCCCGCTGACAACACACACACACACAACAGTGTGGTGGGGTGTGTTGCATGTAAGGGGCCTGGACTGAAGGGTCCTCATGAAAATGATGCTATTACTTGGGGGTTTAAAGTCAATGCCCACCTTCATGTCTGAAAGACCGTTTACATCATGGGTATGTCGCCGCTTTGCTACACGTCTCCGGCATGAGGTATAGTCCGAAAGTAGGATCTGCCAGATCGACTGTATAGAACCATGCGTTTACTTTGTTGTAAACTGCTTGTGCAATAGTTCCATGGGCAATTCCAGGGACCTTATACAGTTTCCTTTGAGTCTTTTTTGGGGATCGTGATAAGGGGCTGTCATTTGGACATCCTCTGGAAGAGGCACCAGTTATGGTCGTATTCAATACAAGAACCAAGTATATCGTAACAGTGGATACCGTTGTGGAATAACCCTCGCCGCTGTTCACTTCAGGAGCATCTATCTACTTCTCAGTGATCCTCTGTCAGTTGGCTTTCTGAAGCCTGCGCTGTCCATCCGGAGGTCATAGTCTCGGCAACTTATGAAGCTGCAAACCTGAAGGGGCCTTTACAACTAGACTAGGACTTTCGGGCATGTTATTTAACAAGGAACCATAGAAAAAACCCCGAACAAGGAATCAGAGGGAAATCCTAAACCCCTAAACCCCTCAAGCCTCTCACCCTAAACCCTAAACCGCCTAAACCCCTAAACCCTAAACCCTAAATCCTAAACCCTAAACCCTTAACCCCCTTGCACCCGAACCCCAAGCCACAAGGGAACCTGGCAGGTCCTCATCCCGACGCTCTGGGGGGACCCCCGCCTTGGCTTAGGGTTTGGGGTTTGGGG